TACACAACAAACTACGGAAAAAAGTAGCGTCTACAGAAGGTTTAGTTACAGTAGTATAGCGACTATAGTAGTAGTAGCGAGGTACTTCCTACCGATGGTCGAAATACGTACATTACCGTTTGTTTTAATTTTTATCTTTAAATTGTATAACTCTGTGAACGGAGCTGATCCGGACACATAAGCAGTTGTAAAAGCGACACAATCGGACTTTTTTTTCTAATCCGTAAACCATCAATCTGTTTTGTAAGTAGATTGTATATTGGACAATTGCATATTATTGTGGCGATTGTGTGTTTGAGGAACTCAAATCAAACGGACGGAAATGAGTCAAATTGACTCATATCCTTAGAGATAGGTATACCACCTGGAGAATTTCAATATTTCCACGCTTTTGAAGAAAATAGCCTTCAATATATATTTACTTCGATCAATGGTTAAAAGTCATTACTAGAGATAAAATAAAAATTCCAACGGGTTATATAATTTTCCTTACAAAACTCGAAATGCATCAAAATGATGCGTCCCGTAAACCTAGTGTTAAGAGCTCAGCAGTGAGAGAAGGGGAACAATTCGGCGTTGTTTATAAACTGATGTCTGCGAAACAAACAAAAATTCTCAATATTTTAGCTCTTAATTGTCTCTATAAAACTGGATGCTGGATGCTGGATATTGGGGTTATCTCGGCGTTTGGCGCGAAGCTCCACTAACCGATTCATCGATTCTGTTTTGTTGTATTTTGGGAGGTCCTATATATCTTTGAAGTTGTAGTATGTTGTAACAACAAGTCAAGTCCTTAAGGAGTAAATCTTTAGTTTTGAAGGGAAAATCATCTTTGGATTGGGGAGATCCCCTTGAGTAGAGTTGTATGATATCTCTATAAAACAATGCAAAAAGCAATAATGAGGAAAGTTATTTCATGAAATGAGTGGTTGCATATTTCGAATCAAATTAAGCAGGCCTTTTATTTCGTTAGCTACCAGCTGAATTTGAAAGTATGACATTAAAGTTATTTTAGAATCTACAGCTGAATTTTAAAAGCATTATTCTTTTAAGAGAGATTGATTACATAAAAACTGAATCATTTATATTTGTAGTAATCACAAATGAATCAATTCTTTGAAAAACGGAGTGAAAACGAGGTAGTTTTGCTGCAATTTTTTAAACTTATGCATGGTTTGCAGAAATTTTAAAAATGTATTTTTCGTGACCTGCTTGCAATGTGTTAAATGGTGAAATCTTAGTAAGAAAAATATTCTGCCAGAATGAAATTAAATTTTCTAAATAAAAATTTGAAATACAGCAAAATACAAAATTGTGTTTGTGTTTTTTTTTCCAGGTGCCTTTGGAATACAAGAAATACTCTGCGTTCCTCAGTGTTACCGAACTACCTTTGGCTTTAGAGAAAATTAATCCTAGTGCGGATTCAACATTGTAAAATTGAGATTGCACATTGGTTTTTATTTTCACCCGTGAGAAGATGGCATATTCAAGCAAATTGAAAAATATCAGCATGCATACTTCTTTTTGTAAATATGAATATAATCTTCAGTATTAAAACTATTTTGTGTATAAANCAAAAGAAAAATGAACCACCCTGTATAACTTTTGATGTAATGATCGGATCTTCAAGCTCTAGAACCCAATCTTAATGGTTTGAGAGGGTCACCGCAAATATGTTAATTAATTGCTGCAGACGATATTTTATTTAACCAAATCAGGCACAAAAATTCAGACACTTTATAGTTCCTGCGAAATCGAATTTTTAAAAAGACAGTTATTTAAAGTTCTATTTCTCAAAACCCATTCGACCGATTTTTCTAAGCAACTGACGCAGATCTTATTAACGCTCGTCCACAGCGGGATTCTCATTGCTTACGTTGTAGGGCCTACTGCGGATTTGCACCTTTAAATTGTTTATCTTTAAATTGTATGACTCTGTGAATGGAGCTGGTCCGGACACATAAGCTGTTGTAAAAGCGACACAATCGGACTTTTTTTTTTATCCGTAAATCATCAATCTGTTTTGTAAGTAGATTGTATATTGGTCAATTGTATATTATTGTGGCGATTGTGTGTTTGAGGAACTCAAATCAGCATTAAAAGCATTATTCTTTTAAGAGAGATTGATTACATAAAAACTGAATCATTTATATTTGTAGTAATCACAAATGGATCAATTCTTTGAAAAACAGAGTGAAAACGAGGTAGTTTTGCTGCAATTTTTTAAACTTATGCATGGTTTGCAGAAATTTTAAAAATGTATTTTTTCGTGACCTGCTTGCAATGTGAAATGGTGAAATCTTGCAATGTGAAATCTTAGTCACAATCAATGTGCAATGGTGAAATCTTAGAAAGAAAAATATTCTGCCAGAATGAAATTAAATTTTCTAAATAAAAATTTGAAATACAGCAAAATACAAAATTGTGTTTGTGTTTTTTTTTCCAGGTGCCTTTGGAATACAAGAAATACTCTGCGTTCCTCAGTGTTACCGAACTACCTTTGGCTTTAGAGAAAATTAATCCTAGTGCGGATTCAACATTGTAAAATTGAGATTGCACATTGGTTTTTATTTTCACCCGTGAGAAGATGGCATATTCAAGCAAATTGAAAAATATCAGCATGCATACTTCTTTTTGTAAATATGAATATAATCTTCAGTATTAAAACTATTTTGTGTATAAAGGATGGTTTATGAAAGAAAAATAAACAGTACTGAGGGAAAAAAATTGGATTTATTTTGTGTACATAAAAGTGATCAATGAAGTTATTTAAAATGTTTGTGTTTGATTTTTTAAATAAAAAAAAATACAGTTTATTGTTTCACTTTTAGTTTTTTGTAATACTATCTTACAAGTTGACAAACGTTTTCTACCCTTTGCCGCAAATGTATCATGTTTTTCATTATTTTGTACTAATTTAGGTCAAAATAATTTAGTAATAAATGCTGGCTATATTAATATAAAATAATAAATTATTTAGCATTAAAATAATATATCTGAGATTGACAGAGTGGAACATCGATGTCTTTTTCTGTGTTAAAGACAAAATCTTCAAAACACGGTTCACTTCGAAACAATAATTTTGCAAATGTGCAGTTATTTATATCTAAAATAAATAGTTATTTATCATTGAAATTTCTCTAATTTACTAAATCAATTGCTGATAAACTTATTGAATTAGAAGGGGGAAAAAATTTCAAACTACTTATTTCGTATTTTATATTCTAATACAAATAAAATACTACCTATAATCAAACTGTATTTTTTTTTGCTGCTTTTAGACAGTTTTTATAATTATAAAGAGTAGCAAAATATATTTTATATGTTTTCTATATGTCATGTTGTGTTATCTTTATTTATATAGTTTCTTCAGGAGGGGCAAACTGCTTCATATCTCCAGGAAGCTGTTTGCTTTCTAACTTTTCCCTCAACTTATTTTTTTTTTTACCTGATGTGTCAATCCCAGATGGATGGTTAAAAGGCCTATGTGAACTAGCACATATCCGAAACGAACGATGAAGATATTGACCTTTCTTTATTTCTATGAGCAACTTTAAGGAAATTTGGTAAAAAAATAAAAAAAATAAATTGGATGATACGTTTAAGAGAGATGAATGGGTATAAATTGTTTGTGTAATTATTTGTTAACACATTGCTGACCGGTCTCAAGTTAACTCGTGTTTTCGTTAGCAGTGATCTCGTGGTGACTATTTTAACAAGTAATTTTCCTTACTTTTCAAGTTTTACTATTTAATACTAAAAATTTATTATAACTTTACGAGACCTTATACAATTGCTAAATCCGTGACTGTGGTTCACAGGTGCCCACTGGGTTAAGCGAAATGAGTAACGAATAAAGCTCAGTGCCTGCCATTCGAAAAAAAAAAAGAATTGGTAAACTTTTGTATCATTACACGACGTAGGTGAATGTTATACCTTTTATCATACAAAAAAGAAATACTAAGAGTTGAATAATAAATAAAAAATTTTGAAGTTTATTTTTATTGTTTTACTTCCACATTCGCTTTCAAAACTATAGCCGGGCACATGGGGTAATTTTCAGAAAAGTTGCCGGTCAGCAATGTGTTAAGTAACGGATATATTTTGTTACCGTGTTGAATGCCACGCTAATTTTTCATGGCTTACTCGTCTAGTCAAACGGTAAATAACTACAAACTAAATGTTCAATTATTAGACAGATTTTGTTACTTTTTTGAAAGGTTTAGCAAGACATAGTTATTGTCTTGTCTTGTTGGTTGGTCGGGGTGCCAGAGGCCGAAATGGCATTTTACCCCTTCATCATGAGATGAGGTGGAACACTGAGGTCAGGAGCATAAAGCTAAAGATGAGATGGGGGGGGGAATGGCTGATTGCCATGTGAGGAAAAGCTGTGAGATGACTTGAAAATGAGTTGAGAATAATAAACAAAAATGAAGTCCACTTTGCNCTGGTTTCGGATTTTCTTAATATCAACGGATTGATTGATCTGGTCTGACCCCGTCAGACCAGATGAGAATTATCAAAAACAACAACTAAGAGTTCAATCACCTATTTCTCACTCATTTCTTCCTGCCCTTCCGAGAAAATGTTTTCTCTAAGAGAGCTTAGATTTTATTTCACGTGTGAGATTTGAGATTTCTTCTCGGAAGGCTCAATGAGAAAAATATATAAAAATTATATTTTTAATGAAACTGGTACAGTATACAATTTAAATAATATGTATTTTTTCAGTTAGCTTTAAAGTCTAACATTGCCCAGATAACTTGTAGTAGACGTTGTTGATGTTACTAACATGTTTCTTCTAGACATAATCTGACGGAGTGTGACCAGGTCTGAGAATCCATTGAAATGCATGAAATCAACAACAAATAGGGAGGAAGCATTGATGCCTTTCCTTAAAAGTGCGGTGCAGTCTAAGATGTGTGAAGTTCAGTAATGATGGCTTTTAGCGCAATGTGGCTAGGTCTTTCTGCCTTTAGAAATATAGTAGGCACTTCACACGTTAAATGCAATGGGGGTCACCGGTGACCGGCAGAGAATTTGATCGTAGCACCTCGTGGGTCAACGGTGACCATCGTAGCCAAGATTAATAGAAACACATAATTCGAGTAATTTTTTTTAATACTATTATCTTTACTAAAATGGCTTGAAGAAATTAATGCAATATAGAACACATAAAAATAGTTTTATTTATATGCACAGATATGCCAACTTGCTCCGGACAGCGAATAAACATTTTCAAGTGGTAGTTTATTAATTGTGATTCTTGGTTTAATATTTTAAATTCAGTAGAATTTTACCCACCACTATTTCTAAACAATTCGTAGGCGTCTATAATTCACCACTTTTTAACTAATATGTCTCGCTAAACATTTTAAAAACTAGCAAAGTCTGTCAAATATTTGCAAATTTAGTTTGCAGTTATTTACCGATTGGCCTGATGGGCAAGTCATGTAAAATTAGCGGTGCATTCAACGTGTTAATGAGGCCGGTGGCGAGAAGTGAGAGGCTGCTGTTAGACCTCCAGTTGTAAGGAAGTGTTAGAGAAAGACCCGGCTTCATACCCTTATGCAAGTGATGCTGTGGAGGCAGAGAGTCCAACTGCTCCGGACACGCCAAAATAGTTAAATAAACGGTAAATAACTACTAAACAAATTTTGAATTATTTGATTATTTTCTCTTGCGTTTTAAAAGATTCAATATGACATGAGTATGTGGTAAATTATATAAGTGGTAAATTATATAAGCCTACGAATTATTTAGAAATAGTGGTGAATAAAAACCTACTAAATTGAATTTATTAAATCAGGAATCACAATTGAAAAACTACCACTTTAAAATATATATTTGCTGTCCGAGCAAGTTGGCATCTCTGTGGAGGTGAAAAATTTTCAGTTTTGTGTTTTTATTCGAAATAGTATCTCTGAGCCAGTGGAGTAAAAGTAAGGGAGTGATGTCTTAAGCCTTCTTTTGCAAGGCGGTCAGTTACCAAGGCCATTGTCAAGGTTGTCAGCAAAACAGTAGTATGACCATTACATTCCCATAGATGCTCATAAGTGAAAGGGTTCAATGGAAATGAATATCATGTTGATTGGAAATGATCTTTAATTTGTTTATAAATGAAATAGTTGTTGTATCCAGTTGCTCAGGTGTTGAATGGGGCCGCGGCTCTCAGTAAGTATTAGAAGATTGGTATGGTCACCTTCATTCAGGACAGCTTCAAGTCCATCGTCGATTACTAACAGTTCACTTTGAAACACAGAAAAGAAGTCCTGATTATATGTTTACCGAGAGAAAATCTGTCTTGTCTAGCAGACATTAAACAAAACTATTTATTCATACAGAGAACTCGCAATTTTATGAAACTTCTTTATTTTTTACAGGGGAAAATTGCTTTAATTTATAAATCCGCGTACAATTTATTAAAGCTTTTAACTAGTTTAAAATCAAATTACTGGGAGAAGCATTATTTAACTAGTTTTGGTGTTATAGCATCAGTTTGAGATGATAGCTCAGTCCCATAGAAACAAATGTGTCAATTTCAGGGGAATTTTCCGTCCCTCTAAAAACTCAAACTCATCTAATTGAATTTTGTAACAAATATTTTGGACTTTACTGTGCAATTATTTGGAAATCTTCATACGGTATGCTAAAAATATATACTTTCAAATTAGCTTGTGAGTAAGAATATTTTTATTAGTCTTCATACCAATCCAGACAGTAATTAAGTCATGACAATCATCTGTAACTCTCAGCCCCTATAAAGCCCGTTTCTTCGGGGGTTCTGCACAGTAAAATTAATATGAGTAGAACATATATACGCATTACCCTCAAATGGACTGTGTGTAATATTTTCCTTTGAGAAATCTGTGAAGATATTATGAAATCTTGCCTGGTCACATTTTTCTGCCTTACTAAAGAAATGGGCATTCAATGAGGTAATATACTTAGAGAGTATTTAAAAAATTAAGTCGTGTCTTAAAGTTTGATTCCTGACTTAGTTCTGAGCATTTGTAATTGATCGTAATATTTTATTCTCTACAATGTCAAGCTCATGCATCGAGTGATCTGATGCTGTTCACTATACTGGTGAAGTATGAGATTCTATTAAACATGTGGTTTGTACGCAAAGTAGTTTCTTTAGGTGAAGTGGCATATTTCAGTGTTTTCTTAGAAGTCGCCTCAGAGTTTTGAGAGCTCCGACAGTTTCTCACATGATTCTATGCACTATACTTTGTTTAGTTCGCTCTTAAATAGCAAAGTTATATTTAAACCTTTACTGAAGTTAAATTAAGGAGATAATAGACACTAGTTTACTCATTTTTCCCCTTATTAACATAAAATTTAAATAGTTGCAAAATTGTATTAGATTAATTTTAATAGAAAATTTACGTCAATTTATTCTGATGAATGCTATTAGCAATACCATACTATTCATTACAAGACAAATTTGCTTGGAGGAAAAACAAATTTTCAGAATCAAAATCTTCAAGGTATAGGTTTGCGATCAAAATATAGTCACAGGTCACTCTGATAATATTAATATTTTATTTCAACCTGGCGAAGGACAGTAGCAGATGAATTAAAAGCAATTTACAAGACATGGAGTCAAACACAAATAATGACATGGAAGCCATGATTGAGTCCTTATGCGGCAATTTAGAGTAAGGAGAAATATTTATGTATGAATTTTATATACACTTAATCGTCCAAAAATGGTGATCTAGAGTTAGACAGTAACGCCTACTTTCTCTTCTTTGCTATACTCTGCAGTACGAACAGATGGCGTATGGTAATATCATCGTAAGTTAAACCA